TGGTAGCTAGTTTCGGTGTTTTAGGTTTTCATAGTAAAGAAGGCGATGCAGCAGAGCTCGCCACCGTAATGGTCTCCACCACGTTAATATGGGAGTTATAGGGGCCCTGGTAAACTGCTGGAGAAAAAGCAATTATTTGTGTTTTCAATGTGCATAGTTCCTCACAATTTATTTCGCTGATGCCATTACCTACAAGATTTAATTCTAAAGCGGCATGTGAAAGTGGAGTGTGTCGGTGTTGATGAGACGAATCATGTCACAAACTTGTACCAAATTATTAATTTTTTGAGAGGAATTTGACAGGTTAGGAATTTGACATTGATATAATGTGGTGATGCATGATTTCGTTTTTAACAGACCCGCAGGATAAATTCGACTTGACTGAAGAAATCCTGTTGTGTTGTTTAGTTGAAGATGACAGGAAAGTGTGTTAGCAAGGAGAACTCGTTTTATTGTTGATAGACGAGAAATGGATGTGAAAAGGCAGTCTTCCCAATTTTTTATTTTCTTGGCTTTTTGAAATGAAGAATGCTGAATTTACATTCCCAAAAGTTTAAGTTATTTAAAGTGATTTTGTAGAAGTTACAGATGACACTGCAGAAAGAATTGCAAATTTTAATTAACAGTATGTTTACATAATGACGTGAAATATGCCAAATGTAGTAAAAAAACGTACAGTGGGTAGGAGAAAATTTAAGGATTTTTATCCATTAGTATGTAATTTCAATAAATTCATGGTTGTCACTACTGTGATATGCATTACTCCTTGTAATTAAAATATTTGGTATATTTTAAGCTATTTTCTTTCTTGAATTTTTGTTTTGAGATTAGATTAATAGTTTAATTTTATTGGCGAGGTGTAATTCATATTATAAGTTTCTTTTGAAAAAACAAGTGTGAAAGAAGAAAACATTTTTTTAATAAGTCTGCCCTTCTGAATATGATATTAGTACCCTAGTTTTCTTATGAGAATTTTTAGCACACTGTGTGAATTCATTGAATATTTTTAGTTACTCCTGAAAAGAAATGTACCTTTATGGTAAAATGATGAATTAGTAGAAATACAACAACTGTGTTACTTTTAATAAAATGAAATAAATAATTAGGAAGCCTTATGAAACTATATAAAACTGATGATTAAAGATTTGGGAATTGTTTTTATTAATTTTTATCACGTAATAATTTATAAACATATAAAATGCAAATGTTCTGCAGTGTGGAAGATGTCTATTACTTCTACAAGTTAAATATTTAAAAATTAATTAGAGAAGCATTGAAAAATATTTGGCAGATTGTTGAATTTTGCCATTTGTATTATAAAGTTTCAAGTTGTGAGCAATTTTAACGTAACTATTATTGTTGGTCTCTTTTGCATATAGGTGATGAAGATAAAATAATTGGTCAGTGTTGAGATTTTATTTTTAAATTTTAAAGTTTTTAAGAAATTAATTATTCTATTGAGTTAAAGAATCTGTGTTGAATCATTGTAAGCAATTACTTATTTGCACTGCTGATTTAAAAAGAAATGAAATTAATTAATAACTTTTTAAGTGCCAAAAATATTTTTGCTTGCTAAGCTTCACATATTTTTAGATGAAAATGAAAATCTTTCTATATTGTTTGTGAAAAGTAAGACACTTGCTTTTTAAGCATAGGCTTTTTATTAGAATGGTAATCCTGCATTTAAAATAAGAGAATACTGTTTTGAGTTAAAATGGGGTCTAAATAGTCCATAGAAATAAATTTTTTGTTTGGGATTGCCTGGGGGATTGATCATCATCAAGTGTAGGAAAGCATTCATTTCCCTCTTCATTTTTATTTGTTATTCTTAATTTGATAAAATAAAATATATTTTCTTGTGTGCAAAAAAAATTAATTTGTTTGGTGTATAAAGAGTTACTATAAATAAATAAATGTCTATATTAGTGGTGAGGCTCGGGTGTCATAATAGTCATGATATATGAGATTTTTTGTTAATCATGATTGATGATAATTATTCCTGTACTCAGAAATGGTTTTTAAATTTTTTTGATAATGTTTGTTTTTGTTTGCAGTGTGTATTTCTGCAATCATGAAATATAACTCAAATTTAGAAATGCTCCCAGCTCTCCTCAAAAGCTTGTAGCACTTCTTGAAGATTGAACTTTACACCGAGAGGGGCTGTGCCTGAGAGGGAAAGATGCCTCGAGATGACGTGAATGCAGAGGCTGCTGGGGGCAGAGGAGCTCAGGTCGAACCCCAAGGTCCGGATCTAGGAAATGGGCCCGTCCCAGCAGCAGACAATGCAGCATTGGGAGGCAACAATTCAAATAACAATAGAGCTCGCAACAATAATAACCAGAATCCATTGATCAATGTGAGAGATAGGTTATTCCACGCTTTGTTTTTTAAAGCGGCTCTTGCATATGCTCGCACGTTTCCAAGACCAGTAAGACGGTTTCTGGAGTTTATTATTCTTTTAAAGGTATGTTGTATCAATTTTTGTTGTACTATTTGTACAGTATAAATATACTCCAGTACATTTCTCAATTTCTTCTTCTTAGTTACTTGAAGTAATTTTTCTGAATTGTAAGTCCAGTATTGTATGTAAGACATAAATTTGATTACAAAGAAGAAAAAAAAGATATGTTGTATTCAAAATGTACTGTTGTAAACTTAACAAAAAAAAGTGATTGAACTGCAGTTAAAAAATTATGAACCTTCAGTTTTTTGCTATGATGTATTTGATAAATTGACCCATAAGAAAATGATTAAGTGTCTTAAATATTTAGAGCTAAGCACCAACCACCATCTGGTGAATATCTTGTTAATTGTTTTTGGGAATTAGTATATGGACCTTTGGTTGAACTATTCCTCTTTCAATTTGCTGATTGATATTTAATAATCTTATTAAAGATACTTTTTGTATATAGTTATATTCTATGAAATTTGTCTTTCTACTCGATTTTTTATTGAATAAAATTTATGTTTTTCAGGCTATTACTGCTTTTTTTGTGTTGGCATACATTCATATTGTTTTCTCACGCACTCCCACTAATTGTTTGGAACACATTAAAGATGACTGGCCGAGAGAAGGTATTTTAAGAGTTGAAATTTTAAGAAATGGCGCTGAAGACTACAATATAGAAAAATCATATGCGAAAGAAGAAAGATTACGGCAGGAAAATGCTGGAGATATTAGTAGTGTTTTAGGTATTCTTTCTAGAGATGGGTAAGCTTAAATCTATATTTTTTTTACATTTGTTGTGTTTGTTTTGACGTTCAATAAAAAAACCAAGTTCTTTTTTTCAATTTTTCAGTTTTGTGAATATAGAACCATCTTCGGTAGAGGAACTTTCTCCAGATGTTAATAATTTTGCTGATACATCTTTAAATAATAACCCCAAAAACAAAAGTAATATAGATGAGAAAATTCAGAGCACTGAAGTCAATGGTGATATTCCTGAAGGTAGAGAACAGTCAACATTAAATACAGCTAATGCAACTTCTCATTTAGGTAAGACATAGAGCATTTGTAATGTAAATGATGAGTTTGTGTGGAAGAAGGGCATTTGAATTATGGCATTTATGTGTAAAATATTTTAAAAAGTTCATTAGGTCACTTTCTACCACCCCTCCAATTAGTACTATGCTATCCCCAATGCATTGTGTTTGAGAAGCTTTTGAAATACCGAATTGGGTCTTTTTTTTCGTAACATAATTACGTCTACAATCTTACATTATTTTGTTTCTCTGTGTTTAGAACAGCGGTAGGACGTCTGTGAATAAAGGAGATGCGAATTTGTCTGATATATCTGATTTTTCATTGGATAATAGCGAGTTTAAGCCTCCAGATAAGAGTGACACATCTTCAGATGCTTATTTACATTGTGTAGAAGATGAAAATAAAGGACGAAAAAGGAAAACTTTTCCAAAAATCAGAAAACAAGAATTAAAGAACCTTAACTAACATGGATGAAAATTAATTGTGGATGGACATTTTTTATTAATTTCTGAAATTAATAAATACATGCAGACTTTCATTGAAGGAAACTATTTCAAAATTAACTTGTTCCATGAAATAACACAATTCAACATTTTCAAATTAATGTAAATATTTGAGCATTTTAGTGCATTTTGTGTGCTTAATCAATTAATTACTAGTACGATTTTTCGTGTGATATGTACAAATTTTTTATTTTATGTGTGAAATAGCGCTTGTATACAGTTTTTCTTGATTATTTCAAAACTGTTTTTTCTGAATTATGCCTTTCTTCCAGCTAACCTTTTGATTGTTATATTTGTCTTAAATGTGTGAATGATCTTAGAAATTTATTAAAGTTCACACTTGATGACATGAATTTCAAATCATCACAAGATTGCATTTTGATGCTATACAAGTTATAAGTATCTCTGGAAACATTAGTCATAAATTACCATGTGGCTGCATGAACAGCATGATATTCTTATTGTCAAAAATGTTACTTGAATATTGATTGATAACTCATCGCAACATACACAATGTTATATGGACCCAATTAATGTACACATGACATATTTACCTTTCAAAAAAATGCTGTTTACCTTGTGATAAAGATTTTGCTTGCATAGAGTTGTAAAAGTAGGAAGATACTATAAACATTTGCAATAATGGACCAACATAATAGAGCAAAATGCATATAAAAATTTTCTTTTATATACACACTATACAACAAAACGATGCATACCGTATTTTATCGAATTAAGTTGCACCTTAATTTTTAAGCAATTTTTTTAAAAAATACCATCTTTTTCCATTTTTATTATTACATTGCAAAGCCAGACTAAAAAGAAATGGTTAGTTAAAAAGTGAACTGCCCTTAAAAATCTCTGAAAATTGTCATCGAGACTAGCTATTAAGAGAAATATTCTGCTGCTACTGATAGCACAAGTTATTTCAATTCAAGTTTACTAGCACCATAGATTTTAATGACGCATCGTAGCGTAGACAGTGTTCTGAGTTTGCGATGGCGGGGTGGGAGGGAGACAGTGTTAGCAATTTTGTAAATCTCCACAGCTCATATTTGTTGCTAAGGTGCACGGCTGCTGCCAGTTGAATCCAATGTTGCCACATAGAGATAGGTTTCCTGTGGCATCGAATACATAACCATTTTTAAGACCGGCAAGAATTTTAAGCCAAACACTAGATATTTTTGTATTACTTTCCAGTATAAGATTAACATGATTTTTGGAGGCAATTGTTCTAAGAAAAAAAGTGTGTCTTAAGGGCCATAAAATATGGTATTTGTTCACGTTGATCAAACCATGATTATGGTGTACTAAATATCCTTTGTAAATGTGGAAGGTTCATAAAGAGAAGTGGAAAGCTACATCACATAATATTGATCAAAAAGGAAACTATGGGAATGGTAATATGGAATAATATGGAAGCAACGATTTGACTAAGCACACCATCCAATGCACTAGTGTATTAGACTATACAATTTAAAGAAAAGTGTTTTTGGAGTATGATGGATTAAAAGAAGGAGAAAACATTAAGATGAGTTTGAAATCCCAGAAAGTAGTGGATGTTTTGAAATGTGTTTGCTTAACTTTCATTTATGCACATCATTGATCATACTTTGAGCATCTGCCTCATTATGGAAATGCCATTTGTGATGTTCGTGTCTCAGAATGTGAAGTCTGGGACTTACATTGAACACTTTCAATGTTCAGTGCCATGACAACTGAACCGTCTGTGAAAATGGTTTCATAAAATTAAAAGTTCCAATTTGATTATTGTGTGAAATTGTTTAAATTTTGAGTGAAAAATGCCACTATTTGGTTTTTCTTTTCAATCTTTTCTCATACTGTGTGTTTGAGAAAAGATGGAACACTGTTCGGCATTGCTTAAGACAGAGCTAATGTCAGGTGACATGAAGGCTCCAAGGAAGATGGCGTCAGTCTTTAAATATTTATTATTCACAAGGAGTGTTATAGAACAGCAACTTTTTTTATGTATTTGGTTTGTAAGGAACTGTTGTACTGTAATTCATATGTACTAGTTCTCTGATCTTAAGGGATTCGCGAAGACTGTTTTTGTTAAAATATAATGCATATGCATATTTTGAGTGGTGTTTTATATAAAACTATTTTATGTTTTATAAAACACAATCATATTTCATTTTTATTTTTGTCTTTTAAATATTTTCATCTTTTAAATTGGAAAAATTTTAGGAAACTATATATGGTCAATTTAGGCAAGTTTTACCAAACCATGTTTCCCAAACCATTGTTGATTAGTACATTTTGCCCATGGGATATGGACTAGTTGACTAATGTTTACTGATATTAATGTGTTTTTGCAGATTCAACAATTACTCTTTCTTCTACATGGGATGGTTTGCCACTAAAAGCTGACAAGGTAAGATTGCTTCCATTTCTATTATTATAAAAGTTTGCATTTATTGTTTATGCTTTTACATTCTCAACCTTTCTTTGTAGGAAGAGAAAGTATTTTAATTGTGCTCTGGCAAACGGCGAATTTTCGACAGATATACTCTTCTTGCCGGGTCCTGGTAACAAAGAAGTAGATAAATCTTATTCCTATATATGTATATATGACTTCCTCTAACACATTGTGTAGTCAGAATTCATGTTGTGTGGTTCCTTGAAACTGAAAAAGCAATTGATGGCAAAATGTTTGTCTATCCCTCTGTCTGTTGCTCTGTCTGTCTGTCAATTCCTTTTTCTATTGGTCTGTCTGTCATTCTGTCAGTCCACCTGCCAGTCGGTCCACCATTTCGTCGGTTTGCTCGCCGTCGAAGCTAGCTTCACAACTGTTCAGCCTATTTTCTCCAAAATTGATATTCCTCAATCTATTTAAATGAACTCAATGCTCTCTGAGTTTGAAACGGATATTTTGAATATATTTGTATGAAATCTCAACAAAATTTTCTCAATAATGGCTCCGTTTTGATAAAACTTCTTCCACTTAGTTATAAGCTATCCACTTAGGAAGAAATTCTATTGTGTTGGCCTGTTTTATCACATGTGTATTAATTTTCTTTTCAACCCCATACAAAGTTGTAGTAATACTATTTTTAGAAAAGTAATAAAAAACAATGGACCAAAAAAAAAAAACCAACAACAACAACAACAACAACTAAGCTGTTACATGATGGAGATGTAAAAATGAACATGAAAAGCAAAAGCACATAAATGCACACATAATTATAATAACACATGTGCATGTATATTTTTGTTGGTTTTTTTTTTTACATTTCCCCCACTCATTTGTCTTATTTGAGATAACATGAATAGGAACGAGTCAATGACTGCCTGGAGGTCTATCAAAATTTCTTGATTTCTCTCTCTCTCTTTCTTGCTGAACTTCCTGAATTTTCAAAAATTTGCAAATTTAGAAAAAAAAAATGTGAGAAAATATGTGCTAATGAAGCTCCATTAGTTGAAATGTTTTTATGAGCCTATTCATGGCAGGTTTTGCTTTGTATTTGAAAACACACTGTGGAGGAGCTAGAATTCATAGCACTCAGGGTTACATTGGTTTCACTCCTAACCCTACCCCCCCACCACACACTTCATCGCAAAAATTAATTTTGGAAAAAACAGTTTATAAATATTTTGATTCAACATATGTAGCTTCATTATGTATGTTAAAATATTTTTCATGTATAACAATTGAATGCTTATATAAAATGTGAGTGACTGAAGAGTTTACTGGTAATAAAATCTACATTTAAAATTTGTTTCTGTTAAGTGAGTTGCCTCCTTAACCGTGATATTTACTTCAAATAATAATTTAAAAAAAAATAATTAAAATTATTTGTAAAATACTAATTAAAATAAGATACTTTTGAATTAAAACATTCAAATGATGTAAGTTTCAATATCTGTTGTCACATATCACACAATAAGGGTCATTAAGGGCTGTCAGTATGATACCCTAATACTTATTATACATAACTGAATAAAATCAATTTGTCTGTCATTCATTTTCGGTCAAATAAAAATAATATATTTACCCAAACATAAGTCGACCTTGAATATAAGATAACCCTCTAATTTTGAAGAGGCCTCCTGTGACTTTTTAAAATGTTTAACTAATTCTTACTGTTTAGTCAATATAAAATTACAAAATGTCTTAGTATCTTGTTGATGACAATGTTAAGAATTATTGCTGATTATTATTTTCTTGTTCCTTACTATCATCATAATCATGGTTGTTGTCCTACCCTCATCTTCACGTGTCTCAGTTCTTTCTTTTTGGTCAGCCTTCCGTGTTGTGACATTTTCTAATTTTTTAGGCCCCTCTTGAAAGTTTACGGACTAAATTTTGTGTCGTCCATAGTCTTTCATCAGACGCCTTCTACGAACATTCCCTTCTGTTTCCAGATGTATCTGTCCCGCACTTGTTGACGTGCCTCTGTTTCTGTTCAAGGCGCAGATTCATATTCGCCGGTCGTCGAACCGAGGTTCCGCACGGCCTCGTCGAACCCGCATCATGTAACAAACTCTCGGCATTCATTTTATTACGTTTCATTTGATACATTGCCATTCGTTAGATATTGTGTTTATCGGCCCATTCTAAATTATCGGTCTGAATTGCCCGACAAATGCCGAGAATACGAAAGCGAATATAATTATACGTTAATATAATGTTACGCGCGATATTTTCGTCTTCGCAGTTTATTATGTCAACATGTACGTGTTTTGGTACATGGGATGGCAATGTAAACACTTAAATCCCAACCGACTTGTCTTATTCTGCGAATATAAGACGACCCCACATTTTCCGACTGAGATATTTCGGGAAAAAGGCACGTCTTATATTCGGGTAAATACAGTAGTTGTGTAGAATTTTTTGAGTTCCTGAAATTTCATTCAACAGTCTTGTTTGAGATAATTATATAAACCAAAGATTTGTAAGAAATGCGTATTGAGTTCAGTTAGTCCAATTTGTCAAATTTGTATGAGCGTGTTCAAATCCATATTTGCTTACAATTTGCTCTTTAAGAACTCAGCTTAACTTCTTTTACTGAACACAGCTCCTTTCACATTCACTTTTGCATAATTTTAAAGTGGTTCTTTTCTTCTTGCCTTCTTTCAATTTCAAAAGTATGTCATCAGTTTACAGATGTTTAAAATGTATATATATTACTTCTCATTGCTCTGAAGAAAGATGAACTGAGATGCCAGAAAGTGAAACGGACTTGCAATGATAAATTGTTGGGATTTTCAAATGGAAAAAAAGGTGTTAAACTTACACAGACACTGCATATAGATGTACAGTGATAGACAGGGCAGATACTGATTCATACAACCAAATGGAGAGACTGACTGCCTGCTTGATAGACAAAATCAGAGAGAGAACTAGTATATGAGTTGTAGTAGTATAATTTGAAATTCAAATTGTTTATGATATGTGCTGTATACTTACTATATTATTGTGATTACTCATGGTTCTTGTTTTTAGATTGCTGAGAGTAATGAAACAAAAACTGAAGATGTTGCTAAATCATTGGGCAAGTCAGACAGAGAGGAGCCTAAGCAAGTTGTCCAGACAGGTATTTGTTCTCTAATTTATTTTTTTCGTTCTTCTCAGTTTGTATGTGTAAAATAAATAAAATTAAACTCAAACAAATTTTATACAAATATTTTTATGGAATACCCTTTGAAAATTATAAAGCACTGGAGTTTCGTCATGAATTATGCTGAAGCACAAGTTAAGTTTCAATTCCTTGGAAAAGAATGAGATGTTGAAAAATAGGAAAGTGGATCGGTATCTAGTAAAGTTTGGTTTACTACAAGATTGCTCAAAAATATATACAGAACTGTATAAATTATGGGCTTCCAATGTTTTAAAATAGATGGGTCAAACTTATTGATGAAAGCATTTAGATTTAGATTTATTCAGTCAAAAAAACAGTAAAAACTGTATGTGACGTAGGGAGGAAAAGATTATCTGCGCACGTTTTCTTGAGCTCCAGAATCCCTTCCCATCATTTTAACTAAGTAAATAGTTGAAAGATGAGTAAAAGTTCAACATAAATAAATGAAAATAAATTTTAAAAAAGCACAAGATTAGTCATATATGCAAAAAGTGGGCATTTTTTTTTTCTGAATTATAGAAAAGCATTCAAGGTTTCTTATTTTAGACAGTTTTTTTGATCACACATTATTTGGCTTTTGGCTGACCTCGGTCATTACATGCTTTTAATATACATTTAATGTTGTCGGACAGTGCACTTTTTTTTTTATTTTTTATTACTTTAGTAACCAATGTCTGAGAAGCCAAAAAATATTATTTTATATTATATTTATTTATTTATTGGACATAATTAAAGTTAGCAGGTTTTATGTATGTATCATATCATCAATCATATTTTATGTATTGTATTTTTTTGGTTTTGGGTTTTTGGATACAGTCATTTACAGAATGTATTTACTTTCCAAGTGCTTCCATTTAGGAAGAGAAACATTAGAATATAAAGATTCTCTTGTTTTAGAATCTGAAGTTCCAATGCCATCTACTGTCTGGGATGGAACAACTCCTCAACCAGAAGAAGTAAGTAATTTTACCTTTCTTATATACATAAATATATATTGAGTAATATATGTAGTATAGAGACTATTATTTAATATTGTGAAAAATTAACTGTGGGACTTCAATGAACATACATGTTTTGGGGTCCCCTGATATAAAATAGTGTTTTTTTACAAAACATATGCTCACACGCTTACCCAAATTTGTTTCTTTTCACATTTCTTGTTAGAGCAGAGTAAAGTACCTGTGAAGATGGTATAGGTCCAAAATTACGAAAGTTCGAAATTTTTTCATTGTCTTTCTACTACTACAATGTTGAAGATAGATTTAGTTCAAATGAAAATTTGTTTTTCACAGTCTGCCAATGTACCTTTCCGGATAGAACAGAAAACACATAAAATGGCACATTCTGATTTTTGTTGAATGAATTTAGATCTTTAATTCATTTAATGAACACTTTTTTAGAAGTATTAGTATTTTTTGCATAATTTTTAGTGACATTGTTTGCGTTTCTCAAGTGATGGCTAAAGTGTTAGGGTAAAAGCTTCAAAATGTTAATGTGATGGAAGCATTTTCAACAATTCAAGAATGTAGAATCTATGTGTTGTTTTAGCTCAACTAATTTAAGAATAGGAAATGTTAAAATTCTTTATATTCCACCTATCTATCAATTATTATCATTAGTGTTATTTGATCAAATCATTAAAATCAGTTTAACCTAGGAGTGCCCGCAATATATTTGAGAGATCTAAGCAATGGTAATTTTATGTTCTTGAATTATTGCGATGTATTAGTTATCTGATATTTCTTGTATTCCTTCATTGTACTTTTCTGAGAACACCTGGCCTTTTATATTTATCCTCTTGCTTCATTTCCCATGAGCATGTTGAAACTTGATTGCTGCACTACACAATACATGTCTGACACGTACGCTCTGGCACAGTGCATTATGAGCTCGGGGCTTAAGCGCTAGGTATCACGACATTATTTTCAGCCATGTCTATGACAAGTGCCTATACAGAAAATGTATTCACTTATCTTATCTAGGGTCAACTGTCACAGTTTTTTCCTAAAGTGAAAGATGATGCGCAGGAGACGTCAGTGGGAAAATGAAGAAAACACAAACCTTTCAAAATGGAAAAAGACAGAGACTTTCTAAATATTTTTGTGAAAAATGTATGTTTGTTAGAACGTGTCAAAATAATTTGTGGAATTTTATTTAATTAGATAATACGATTTTAAATGATTTTTGCATGTACTTGGTCAATTTGTACCTTTTTCATCTTAAGTATTCAGACAAGGTTTCTGCAGTGTATGATTCGTTAACAATTGTTTTGGGGGACATGTACAAACTAAATAAAATATGAAGTTACTTATTTGACATGTTCTGTGGGATTATAAACAGCCAATATTAAAAAAAACAAACAGTAATTTAAAAAAGTAATTATCATTTATTTCAAATACTCAATCAATATGAAGCAGTGTTTTGAAAGAACATGATATCTTTCATTTTCAGGCTTGTACACGTCATTTAATATATAAAAATCATTGTTTGTTTGTTGGTTCATGCTTAATGCTTTGCCATACTGTTCATCCGATTGTGATAAAACTTTGTCAACATTTAAGATACATGCAGGTCTGTAGTTCGCGATATTATTTCTCTTACCTGATTTAAAAATCGGTATAATGAAACTCTTCTTCTGGTACTTTTGGAAAAGAGTTGGTTAAAAGGGATTTGTTAAGTAAAATACTGAGAGGTAATGCAAAACCACGTGCACAATCTTTTAATATTTTTTCTGGAATTTCATCAGAACCAACTACAAATCTATTTTTGTAATGTTTTAGTTTATTTAACACTGCATCGGTCGTAATCACAATATGATCTCTAATATCAGTTCCTGTGTTTGAAGTTTCGTCTGTGTAAACATTTTCGTTGTAACAAGTCCTTTCCTGATGTGGCATAATGGAAATAGCAGACGGTCATTAGGTCAATTTTATAACTTGATAAAATACATATTTATTTAGTACATATGTGCATATGTACATAATAGTAAATAGAGCTTCAGATGATTTGCATTCATAAAAAGTTGCTGCTATATTTGAGATATACATTGCAGGCACTGGCTTGAGTCTACCTATTGAGGGCAATTCCGGGATAAAATTCTATTCGTAGGGCAATTCCGGGATATACTCTACTCATTGAGTATTTTATGAAGTGTCAAGATTTGCAATGTTAATTTTTCAATGAAAATACCTAATTAATCAATTTTTTAATTTTTCCCCCTCAAAATTGAATTTTGAGAAATTTTAATTTTTTTCATGTTTTCCAGTTTGAGGATATTAACTTAGTCTAATGTACGCATATTTGACTCAAACACATTTTCATATTGAAATTTGATATCACTTCTCGGGTGTCAATTTGTTCAATTTTGGTTTCACCAAGGAGACAAGTGCTCTAAAATTTGATTCTGGTACTTCTTTGATTACTGAATTTTGTAAAGTAATACTTTAAGTTCAGAGGTTTGAATAAATGTAATTAAATGAAAATGTTGCAATATTTGATTATATATAGGTGTTGTGGTGCGTTATCGTTGGCATTTTTCATGAAATAATTATAGACGTCATTGCCAACAATAGTACTGGATGGAAGCCACAAAACTGCAATACTATTGTTGGCAATAACGTCTATAATTATTTCATTTGATTATATGCCAGCAATATTTAATGTAGCATCATTAAGAGTAGTCGCTAGTAAAGCAGAAATTATATTTGCAGTTCAGAAGAAAATTGTAGAAGTGAATTTTTTCAAGGAATCAGTAGTGGTAAATGTTGATATTATGATGTGATATAAAGATATAAGTCAGTGAACTTTTTCATTTGAGCAAAAGTGGAGGATGATAATGAAATATTTGTAGTCATAGTGCATTAAGAGAAATGATGACATGAAATGTAATGTTAAGAGTTCAAAGTGATTGGAAGAAGGAATAGAGGTGTGTCGATTAAAGGTGGAATGATCAACCGACACAATTCTAAATATTTATTAAAACAGTCTTTTGGCTCAAACCAAAATGCACTTGATAATGAAACGAAATGTAAAATGAGAGTAACAATGTCCAAATGCAGTCAAACCTCAATTATGCAATTTTTTTATATACATTAAACATCTATCTTGGAATAATTTTTCCCTCCCTACTGCAGTACATTAGTTATTTTCATATGAAATCCTCAAAATCTGGTTTTCAACGTATTGTATTCTTTCCCAGAGATGAAATCTCATTAATATCTTGAAAAATTCGATTTTTGTAAAGAAAATGTACTTATAAAGTCGAATATTTCCAAGAACGTATTAAAAACATGTCATTTAAACGAAAATCACTTAAAACATTTTTATTGTGCTGGCAATGTTAAGTGAGTAAATATAGGTTGTGAATAGGAGGAATAATAAGCTGATGTAGGTAGTGCAGCATTTGATACAAACCAGAGTGGAGATAAAGTGATTCTTAAATGTTTTGGCTGCTAGCAGTGCCCCAGATCTTGATTGTCTGTCCTTACTTGAACTTGAGTGGTTTTGTAAACAAATAATTTATTTTTAAGTGATAATTTTGATTTGTGATCAGTTAGCCAATATAATTTCCTTAGTTGTAGTTTTTTT